CCCGTCGAGTCCGGCGCTGCCGCTCGGGGCTTGGTGCCTGCAGGCGCAGGTTACAGGGCTGGGCAGGTGACCTGGTGCCGGATGCCCTCGTTGCACATGAGGGCTGCTGCTCGCTCATCGCTGTCGCCGTGCTGGCACTGCATGTAGCTCACGCCGTGGGGTGAGTAGCTGTGGTGGCACACATTGCACGTTCTGGTCATGGTGCCGCCTGTGCTGCTCCTGGGGCGGCAGAGAAAAGTGAGCGCTGGTGGCACCCACTGGTTCCCAACGGCATCTATCGGTGCCTGGTGGCACCCGTCAGTGCCCATTGGTGCTCAGCAGTGCTTGATGGTGCCCTATGGCACCCGTTGACACCCACTGGTGCCCATTAGTGCCCACTGGTGCTCAGCACTGCCCATCGGTGCCCAGTGGTACCCACTGGCACACATTAGTGTCCATCAGTACCCACTGGTGCACATCGGTGTCTGGTGGCAGCCATCAGTGGTACACAACAATGCTCATCCCCATGGCACCCATCAGTGCCCACTGGTCTCCAGTGATGTCCATCAGTGCCCATCATTGTCCAGTGGCACCCATCAGCAGCCGTTGGTGACAACTGGTTCCCACTGGTCCCCAGTGAAGCTCAGCAGTACCCAGCAGTGCCCATCATTGCCCAGTAGCACCCATCAGTGACCATTGGTGACCACTGATCACCAGTGGTCCCCAGCGATGCCTATCAGTACCCAGCAGTACCTGGTGGTGCCCATCATTTCCTGGAGGTCCCCTGCAGTTACCATCGGTGACCAGTGGTGTCCAGTGGTACACAGCGATGCCCAGTGGTGCCCAGTGTTACCTGTCAGTGCCCGTTGGCACCTGCTGGCCCCTTTCAGTTGCTGGTCCTGTGCGTGCTGTGCCCACTCACCTGCAGTCGCTGCATGCCCGCTGGCACTCCTTCCGGCGGTAGCGGCAGATCAGAGCCCAGATGAGGAGCCCCAGCAGGGTGAGGAGGAGGAGGGAGCCCAGGATGGAGCCCACAATGATGCCCGCTTGTCTTCCTCCTGCCGTGGGAACAAACCCTATCACCGCCGGCCTCCCTGCCGGCTGCCTGCAACTGGCCCAGTTCCCGGGGCAGCCCTCAGCAGGGCTGCCCCGGGTCACAGTGCCCATGGTGCGCCCACCGCAGCACCCTGGCAAGCACAGCCAGCCCAGGGTGGCCCCCAGCTGCCTAAGCCCTGGTTGCGGTTGGCAAACCTAGTGAGTAGAGCCAGCACTCTCCCAGCACGACCTCCCAGGGCCTGCACCTACTTGGCACGGAGTTGACAGTGAGCTGGCACAGTGAGTAGCCCACACGGTTGGTCACGCGGCACTGGTACACGCCGGCGTGTGCGTCTGACAGGCTGCGGATTAACAGGTCGCCAGGAGCACGTCCTACACAGGAGAGAGAGAGTCCGGTGAGCCCCTCCGAGCCCCCATGGCTGCCACACACAGAAGACACAGGCACCCTCTGGCACAGGTGCACACAGACACAGGCAGTCATGGACATGGGTGCACGTGGACAGGGGAACACACAGACACAGGCTCACGCAGACATGGGACCACACAGACGTAGACACCCACGGATACAGGTTGCACGTGCACATGGGAACACGTGGACGTGGGCACTCACAGACATGAGCGCACACAAACATGGGAACATGCAGACATGGGCACACAGACACGTGTGCACATGGACATGGGCACCCACAGCCATGGTGGCACATATTGACATGGGCACCCATGAATATGGGCGCAGATGGAGATGGGCACTTACAGACATGGGCACCCGCAGACACTAATGGACATGGGTGCACAGGGACATGG